AAGAACTCCCATAAATCTAACCACATGCACAACTCCCATCAATCTAACCACAGGAATAACTTGCATAAATCTAACCACATGAACAATTCCCATCAATTTAACCACATGAATATCTCATAAATCTAACCACATGAACAACTCCCATAAATCTAACCACAGGAATTACTCGTAAAATCTAACCACATGAGCAACTCCCATAAATCTAACCACATGAACAACTCCCATCAATTTAACCACATGAATATCTCACATAAATCTAACCACACGAACAACTCCCATAAATCTAACCACCTGAACAACTTAATTAAATCTAACCACATGAATATCTCACATAAATCTAACCACATGAACAACTCAATTAAATCTGACCACATGAACAATTCCCATAAATCTAACCACATGAACAACTCACATAAATCTAACCACATGAATAACTCCCATAAATCTAACCACTTGAACAATTCCCATAAATCTAACCACATGAACAACTGCCATAAATCTAACCACATGAACAACTCACATAAATCTAACCACATGAATATCTCACATAAATCTAACCACACGAACAACTCCCATAAATCTAACCACAGGAATTACTCGTAAAATCTAACCACATGAACAACTTCCATAAATCTTACCACATGAAGAACCCCCATAAATCTAACCAAATGAACAACTCCCATAAATCTAGCCATATGAACAACTCAATTAAATCTAACCACATGAATATCTCACATAAATCTAACCACATGAATAACTCCCATAAATCTAACCACATGAATATCTCACATAAATCTAACCACACGAACAACTCCCATAAATCTAACCACATGAACAACTCATTTAAATCTAACCGCATGAACAACTCCCATAAATCTAACCACACAAACAACTCCCATAAATCTAAGCACATGAAGAACTCCCATAAATCTAACCACATGAAGAACTCCCATAAATCTAACCACATGAAGAACTCCCATAAATCTAACCACATGAACAACTCACATAAATCTAACCACATGAATATCTCACATAAATCTAACCACACGAACAACTCCCATAAATCTAACCACATGAACAACTCCCATAAATCTAACCACACAAACAACTCCCATAAATCTAACTACAGGAATAACTCACATAAATCTAACCACATGAACAACTCCCAAAAATCTAACAACATGAACAACTCAATTAAATCTAACCACATGAATATCTCACATAAATCTAACAACATGAATATCTCACATAAATCTAACCACACGAACAACTCCCAAAAATCTAACCACATGAACAACTCATTTAAATTTAACTGCATGAAGAACTCACATAAATCTAACCACATGAATATCTCACATAAATCTTACCACATGAATATCTCCCATAAATCTAACCACATGAACAACTGCCATAAATCTAACCACATGAACAACTCACATAAATCTAACCACATGAAAACTCCCATAAATCTATCCACATGAATAACTCCCATAAATCTAACCACATGAACAACTCAATAAAATCTAACCGCATGAACAACTCACATAAATCTAACCACATGAATATTTCCCTTAAATCTAACAGCATGAATATCTCACATAAATCTAACCACATGAACAACTCCCATAAATCTAATCACATGAACAATGCCCATAAATCTAACCACATGAATAACTCCCATGAATCTTACCACATGAATAACTCCCATAAATCTACCCACATGAACAACTCAATTAAATCGTATCACATGAACAACTCAATTAAGTCTAACCACATGAATAACTCCTATAAATCTAACCACATGAATATCTCACATAAATCTAACCACATGAACAACTCCCATAAATCTAACCACATGAAGAACTCAATTAAATCTAACCACATGAATATCTCACATAAATCTAACCACATGAAGAACTCAATTAAATCTAACCACATGAATATCTCACATAAATCTAACCACATGAATAACTTCCATAAATCAAACCACATGAATATCTCACGTAAATCTAACCACATGAAGAACTTCCATAAACCTTACCACATGAAGAACTTCCATAAATCTAACCACATGAACAACTCAATTAAATTTAACCACATGAACAACTCCCATAAATCTAACCACATGAATAAATCCCATAAATCTAACCACATGAATAACTCCCATAAATTTAACCACACGAACAACTCACATTAATCTAACCACATGAACAACTCGCATAAATCTAACCACATGAATAACTCCCATAAATCTTACCACATGAACAACTCCCATAAATCTAACCACATGAACAACTCAATTAAATCTAACCACATGAACAACTCCCATAAATCTAACCACATGAATAACTCCCATAAATCTAACCACATGAATAACTCCCATAAATCTAACCACATGAATATCTTACATAAATCTAACCACACGAACAACTCCCATAAATCTAACCACATGAACAACTCATTTAAATTTAACTGCATGAACAACTCACATAAATCTAACCACATGAATATCTCACATAAATCTTACCACAAGAATATCTCCCATAAATCTAACCACATGAACAACTGCCATAAATCTAACCACATGAACAACTCATATAAATCTAACCACTTGATATCTCACATAAATCTAACCACACGAACAACTCCCATAAATCTAACCACAGGAATGCCTTGCATAAATCTAACCACATGAACAACTCCCATAAATGTACCCACATGAACAATTCCCATAAATCTTACCACATTAAAAACTCCCATAAATCTAACCGCATGAAGAACTCCCATAAATCTAACCACATGCACAACTCCCATCAATCTAACCACAGGAATAACTTGCATAAATCTAACCACATGAACAACTCCCATCAATTTAACCACATGAATATCTCATAAATCTAACCACACGAACAACTCCCATAAATCTAACCACAGGAATTACTCGTAAAATCTAACCACATGAGCAACTCCCATAAATCTAACCACATGAACAACTCCCATCAATTTAACCACATGAATATCTCACATAAATCTAACCACACGAACAACTCCCATAAATCTAACCACCTGAACAACTTAATTAAATCTAACCACATGAATATCTCACATAAATCTAACAACATGAATATCTCACATAAATCTAACCACACGAACAACTCCCATAAATCTAACCACATGAACAAGTCCCATAAATCTAACCACATGAACAACTCACATAAATCTAACCACATGAATATCTCACATAAATCTATCCACACGAACAACTCCCAAAAATCTAACTACATGAACAACTCCCATAAATCTAACCACACAAACAACTCCCATAAATCTAACCACAGGAATAACTCACATAAATCTAACCACATGAACAACTCCCATAAATCTAATAACATGAACAACTCAATAAAATCTAACCACATGAATATCTCACATAAATCTAACCACATGAATAACTCCCATAAATCTAACCACATGAATATCTCACATAAATCTAACCACACGAACAACTCCCATAAATCTAACCACATGAACAACTCATTTAAATCTAACCGCATGAACAACTCCCATAAATCTAACCACACAAACAACTCCCATAAATCTAACCACATGAAGAACTCCCATAAATCTAACCACATGAAGAACTCTCATAAATCTAACCACATGAACAACTCCCATAAATCTAACCACATGAACAACTCCCATAAATCTAACCACACAAACAACTCCCATAAATCTAACCACAGGAATAACTCACATAAATCTAACCACATGAACAACTCCCATAAATCTAACAAGATGAAGAACTCAATTAAATCTACCCACATGAATATCTCACATAAATCTAACCACATGAATACGCTTATCCATTGTATCTATAACTTAAACTATTGTGTTAATTTCTTTTCAAAATTAAAGCCTTTTCTTAATTAGAAGGTATTGTAAGTGAGTTTAAATAACCATGTTATCGTGTCCAACGATGCATTGATAAATCTCAGATCACAAATAATTGGTTAACAAAATACAAATATAACACTTCTACCTTTAAAGATCTTTATATTACCAGGCATATGAATATTATCTGTTTATACAAAATAAGACATATTCGAAATTATTTCTAATAAAATTGAAAATGGAAATGGGGAACGTGTCAAAGAGACAACAACCCGAACAAAAAGCATATATAAAGTATATATAATAAGTATGTTATCTAAATTTTTCGAGCACACTAGGCACATCACGATTTTCTCGCATAGGAGTTTGCGAACAAACCTTTGTAAAATTATGAAGTAAAACAGATGAAATCATACTATATTTATAAAACAAAAATTGACAAATAGAATGTAATCATTTTTGTTTCAAACATGTGAAATAGCCAATAATAATAAAACTCGCTATTATTACAAAAATATCCACTATAACATGCAAATTTAGAAAAAAAAACAGGATAACTTAAGAATTGGAACAACAGAGAGAATACAGGGATTCGAACCTAAACCGACTAATCCCTATCTTTAACTCATTGATTTTAACCATGCTAACCTCGCGGCTACCAACTCATACTATACGACAGCCTATTTTGTCTATATAAAGGTACAAGCCCTGTGTGTCCGATGAACCGATGTATATCAGATGTTCATTTAAATACATAAAATAGACATCTATGGTGTAACCCATTGGTAGCCGAGAGGTTTCGTCGATGTGTTGATGTCAGTCACACATAACAGATTTCAAGGAAGGGTTCGATTCCCAGTGAAGGCATATAAAAATTACAAAAAATAAGGTAAGTTTTGAAATTAATTCCATTAGTGAACAGAAATCAGTAAATTAGCCAATTTAAACTTAATGAAATTAGGCACACAAAGGAAACAATTGAATATAATTTGGTGATTCAATTTCAGCGGCAGATTTAGGAAGCGTTGATTCTAGAAAAAGAATCCACGGTAAATGAATAGGCTGACGTCACCACAATGGTTTAATATACTAATATGTTTCCATTATAGGATAAAGAAACTTAAGGACAGATACATTGTATATAGATGCCCTGATTACAGATTACAGAATATGGAAATTGGAAGGCAGATGTTTATAGATAGTCAGTGAAAAGATGTTTACACATGCTAGTGAAACAGTAAAAATAAACATAGTATACATGTAGATGTAGGCAGATGTGACTGGATTGTGTGGGAAAATGGAAACAGAAAAAGAAAGAAAATGTGGATAATTTTAAAACCATAATATTGATAGAAGGAGGAACAATTTTTTGTATTCTTATTAAAATTTTGACCTATTACCTTTATTTTAAAGGTGATACAGTTGATTACAGTTTTGATATTTGCAGATTAATTTATTTAAAATCTCCAACAAAGGTTAGATAGACACACTTGTAGACCTAGAGAAATGATGTTGAAGAATTAATGATTAATTGATCAATTTCTTTTTGGATTGAAAAGCTAGTAAAAAATAAAATAGCCTGCCTTCTAATCAGCATGCTTCATTCTTATTAACAGTATAATGCTGTTACATGTCAATGGTTTGTGGTTTTATTGCAATACTGTTACCATGTTTTTTTAAAACATCATGTTGTAAATATATGAACACACTTTTAATTTTATGATCACACCTGTAATTTTATAAACATCATGGTGTAAATATATGTCCACACCTGTAATTTTATAAACATCATGGTGTAAATATATGAACACACTTGTAAGTTTATAAAACTATTGATATTATAGATTTTCACAGTACAGTGATACAGAAATTATGTATGAGAGTGAACATGGTGACTAAATTGTTTATGCAATGACTGTTAACACCTGTCAATATACAGTACTTCTTTATTATTTTCATGTAGTATGGTACTTTTTTTATGGATAAGATTTTTATGTTATAATTGATGTCTTTTGATTTGAGACAGTTTAAAATGTTTTAATGTTACACCAGTTGTGTTCAGATATATTCATTTATTAAAGTGTTGTAGGCTCAAAATTTTTTCGGTGCAATATGCTATGTTTTATAATTATTTTCCATAAGCTTGTCTAATGTGTATGTAACATAATCGTGTTTCATTGAACAAATGATCTACATAGCATCTATTTTAAATAAATAATGACACTGCAATAAGACCTGACAGGTTTTTTATATCCATTAATTTTATCAAATCTTGCCATCCACATCATGTGTTCATTTTAAAAAAAATACAGATCTTACTACCTTATGTTTACACTTTTTTTTATTCTTATTTTTATTAGATATAATACTTGTATGACTTGTTTTAACAAGTATATTTATGTTATTTATTATATATAAAAAACAAAAAAATACTCATTTTAGTACAAAACATAAAAAAATATATATATATATTTGGTAAAATATTGATATTATTCATTTAGATTTAAATAAAAGATGTATACATATACACTATTTTTTTTATACTTTATACAGATACAACACTCACTCCTTTCAAACTGCTTTTATGTATAGAATAAGTATCATCATATAGATTTTGTTGAGTTTTAAAACTGATAGATTCCCCAAGCAGTTTTATTGTCGAACCTGCGACTTTTGTCGCAGAAAGCTCGACAAAGGATAGTGATCAGGCAGCGGCAGCATTAACTTACTTCTTAAAGGCTTAATATTTCAGAAGGTAGAAGACCTAGATGCTTCATACTTTGTATATGGATGCATTATGATATGAAGTTTCCGTCTGTCATATGTCCATTGTCCTTGACCTCATTTTCATGGTTCAGTGACTACTTGAAAAAAAAGTTAAGATTTTTTGTAATGTTAATTTCTCTCTTATTATGAGTAATAGGATAACTATATTAGGTATGTGCGTACCTTGCAAGGTCCTCATGCCTGTCAGACAGTTTTTACTTGACCTCTACCTCATTTCATGGATCAGTGAACAAGGTTAAGTTTTCTTGGTCAAGTCCATATCTCAGATACTATAAGCAATAGGTCTACTATATTTGGTGTATGTAATGATTGTAAGGTGTACATGTCCAACTGGCAAGTGTCATCTGACCTTGACCTCATTTTCACGGTTCATTGCTAAATGTTAAGTTTTTGTGTTATGGTCTGTTTTTCTAAAAAACTTTAAGCAATAGGTCAACTTTATTTGGTGTATGGAATGATTGTAAGGTGTATATGTCTGTCTGGCAGGTATCATCTGACCTTGACCTCATTTTCATGGTTCATTGGTCAATGTTCAGTTTTCCTGGTTAACTTTGTTTCTTAGATACTATAAGCAATAGGTCAACAATATTTGATGCATGGAATGATTTTAAGGTGTACATGTCTGTCTGGCAGGGTTCATCTGACCTTAACTTCATTTTCATGGTTCATCTTCAATATAGAATTTCCAGGGTTTGGTCTGTTTCTTTTATACAATAAGCAATAGGTCATCTATATTCTGTGTATGGAATGATTGTATTAAAGGTGTACATGTATTTCTGGCTTGGTTTATCTGACCTCATTTTCTTAGATCATAAATGTTATGTGATACTTGTAGTAAAACTTTATATGTAGGACTATCAACATAAAATCAATGGTCAGTATAGTAGGCGAGACATTTCAGTGTGTGCACTCTTGTCTTGTTTTGGGCTGAAAAAATGTCATAAATAAAATTTCTTTGGAAAGATAGAAACATTGAGAACAAGTCTTTATACAGCTAGGGACTGGTTTTACCTGTTATGAGAGTTGCAGATTGTAAAATCATGGATGTTAATGCAGTGGTGACACCAATGGTGTCAAATATATGTATGCTGTGAAGAGGAGAAAGAGCTAAAAATCTACATATAAAAGGTCTGAAGTTTATGTCTGTGTCTGGCATATGTAAGTTTTATGTGACTCCTTTTCATGGTTTAATGATTGAAATCAGTTTTTTTGTTCTTTTAAGATTAGATCAGTTTCTCAGTTACCATGAGTAACAAGTCAACTATATTTGGTGTATAGAACCAATGTCAGATTTACATGTCATTCTGACATTATACTTATTATCTTTATATCTTTATTCAATGATCAATGGTAAGTTTTACAGATTGTATCATAATTTGTCAAGTATACTTGGTGTATGGAATAGTAGTTTACATTGTTGCCAGTCAGGGTAAGTCTGACTCTCACCTCATTTTCATAGTACGTTTTCTTCACTTTGACCTGATATTCATTGTACAGCCACCTTACTTTGACCTCATATTCAGTGTACAGCTACCTAACTTTGATCTCATTTTCATTGTATATGATCATAGTTAAGTATTCATGACAGGTGTATCATATATATAGTAAGCTTTTGATATTAAGACTTTAATCATATTATTCAGTCATAAAAATGAAAGCAGGTGTGTCAACTCTTGTTTACAAATGTTAAAAAAAAGAGATATTAACATCATTAGATGGAAACACAAAAGAAAATATGACAACAGTATTAAAGTACCAAAGTAATAGATCTTATTGCTTCCAGAAAAAAAACAGTTACTTAGAAAACTTTCTGTTGGGGTCAAGTATTTTTCAAAACAAAGGTCATCTGTATTGAGCTCGGGGAGGAAAAAGATTAGAAAGGGGACATTTTAAAATTTGAAATCATGACGGTTTATGAACAATTTTTTTTAAAGAAAGTTTGAAGTGTTTACAATACTTTAAACACGTCTCTTTTAAAAGTTTTATGCACAATACATAGTTAAAACAGGGCCCCAGTTTCAACTGGTTTGTGATGTCATGAAAAAGTTGTGTAATTTCAGAACTTATTTGGACTGGAAAAAATGTTGATAAGGTCTATGTAAAATAGTTATATGTCTAGTCTTTGTGACAGACTGAGAACTATTATCTAATTTAATGTTCAGTGGTTTTCTTTTACTGAAACATGGTGTTTAAATGTCTATTTGATAGAGTTGAGCCATTTCAAATAATATTTTATAGTGTGTCTTTTTATGTTGTAATGTTACACTACTGTCAGGTTAGGGTGAAGGTTGGCGCCTGTTAAAACGTTTAAAACCCGCTGCATTTTTATGCATCTGTCCTAAGTCAGGAGCCTGTTCAGTGGTTGTCGTTTGTTGGTGTTGTTCGTTTTTTATATAGATTAGACCGTTGGTTTTCCTGTTTGAATTGTTTTACACTAGTCATTTTGGGGCCCGTTATAGCTTGCTGTTTAGTGTGAGCCAAGGCTCCGTGTTGAAGGCCGTACTTTGACCTATAATTGTTAACTTTTTATACATTGGGACTTGGATGGAGAGTTGTCTCATTGGCACTCATACCACATCTTCTTATTTATATTGTTGGATTTTTCGTATTATTTGTTTCACATTTTGTTGTGTTGGGGCCTTTAATAGCTGACTATATGGTATTGGGTTTTCTCATTTTTATTTAAGACGTTAGAGTAACCTATAATTGCTTATTTTCACATCATTTGAATTCTGTTTGATATTTGTCTCATTGGCAATCATACCACATCTCCTAATTCTATATTATTTATCAGTATTTTTGGCAAAATTTTGATTTTGATTTCAAGCGTAAAACCTAATCCCAATGTTTTAATTTTGTTTAATTCTCATTTTCCATCAGAATCATAATTAATATTATTATAAGTGTCAGAAATGAATTAGAATAGAGAATGGAAACGGAAACGGAAAATGTGTCAAAGAGACAACAAACCTACCATAGAGCAGAAAACAGCCTACAACCAACAGTGGGTCTTCAACGCAGCAAGAAATCCTGCACCTGGAGGCGGCCACCAACTGGCCCCTTAACAATAATGTATACTAGTTCAGCGAAATGAACACCACACTAAACTCCGAAACATACAAATAAACCAGAATTTAAAAAAAACCCACACATATTGTATATATAACTTTATGGCTACCATCTCTTATTTTATATAATGATTAAGGAAGAAATTATCAGAGAAGACAAATGCTTATAATCTGTATTGTTATTTGGAGCAAGAAATTTAAGTAGAATACTAATAATTATCTCCCAGAAAAAAAGTAGAATTATATCTGCTTTAGTTTTACACTGATCATTATCTGTTGCAAAGATTGGGAGGAATTCTGGTATTAAATTAATAGTTATCTCCCTTGTCACAACGATGGAGTTACAAATTCAAGCTTGACTCTGAACATTTATTCCCTTTTCACAGTGACTGCAAATGGAATTCAAGTTAACATTGATACTTTTTATTTTTCATAGTAATTATCTCCAGTGGAAGGCTGGAATTCAACTTTAGACATGGATAACTATCTCCTTTGTCACAATAAAAAATGGATTTCAAGCTCAATGTCGATTGGTATCTCCCCTGTTACACTGTTTCAGGGGGGCACGTGCACCCCCCCCCTCCCCCCTCCACAGTCGGGGTCACCAAAAAATTTTCTAACATAATTATATTGACACTGAATCTGCTTATCTAGAGCGGAAATTAAGTCAACTGGCCGTTAATTAACCCCGAGCTTCAACATGTGTGATTTATGAATTTATGACAACTTATCGATGGGTGTGTAAATATTGACACCTAGCTATGTGTAATGTCTATATCCAGCAGCATTTATGTAAACTACATGTACATGCTGATTGGAATACGAATATATTTGTTGGTTTCTAATACAATATTACAGGATTAAGATCTATTAACAAGTGAAATCTTCTGATGAGGAAAGAAATTACCAACCAAAACCGGTCTTTAACGAATATGTACAAATAGATGTTTAGTGTCAAGAATGTTATTATCGATATGAGATATGTCTTTAATTCTAATTCCAAACTCTCATATAGTAGACGTTTACTGGGGAATATATCTTTCTCGGAACAGTCTTTATCCAGCGGACTTTATTTAACAACAAACGACTTTTATTAATAACATACAAGAACATTAAAAAAAACTGAATGTCGTGACTCTTCTCCCCTTATTTTTTAATGGAAACCAACAATTAGTTAAAAAAAAACCTTCCTCCCTCCACAAAACATGAATAGGCAGTGCCCTATATATAATCATTAATAAAATGCTATTGTATTTTTAGAAGACATACTTTATAATATAATACAGTAGTAAATGTATATTTTTCTAGTTTCATGAGGGTATGACTGGGTTACCGTAAATGGGGGTATGAATGGGGTTATAGAGTAGAGAATAATGGACAAAAATGTAAAGATTAGTCTCCGAAAAAAAAATAGGCCCCTAAAAATATAGAAAACAGATTAAAGGTGTGATGAAATATAAAGAATAGAGAACAATTGGCAGAAAATCAAAGAGTAGAACAAAAAGGTAAAAAAAAATGAAAAGATATAGAAACGAAGACCCGGACCCCCCCCCCCCCCTTTCCCACACCACCATCCCGAACACACGCCACCACCACCACCCACACTCGCATATATACAAATCTAAACAAATATTTAATTTTGGTTTCATCATGGGTGCCCCCCCCCCCCCCC